CGGTTCCCTTTGACTCCCTCACCTTTACTTCTTCCAGTACCTAATATTAAGGAGGCTGAGAGCCTTAGGGCCTGCTTATCAGCCTTACTTTCGTTTCCTTTTTCTCCAGGAACCATTCCTCCTCTACTATGGGCTCCTTGGTGCACATCTCATCTAATCAGGCTTAGAGTTTGTTTGTTTTCTTTCTGGAATGGACACGTTCCTTTGTTTTGTTTCTTTAACTGCTTCTCCTGTTCTCCTGTGGTTCTGTAGTGGGACTGAACGCCCAGGTGTCTAAAGAGCAGCTACTCTGAGAGAGAGAGAGAGAGATAAACACTTTGCTGATTGTCTCCCCTTCCTTCCCCCCTCCATAATTTTTATTTTTTTAACATTTAAAAAAACCCCAAAATAAATTGAACTGAAAAAGGAGAAAAAAGAAAGGTAACTACAGCACTATAGCTGCCTAGATTGGTCGTTTTGACCAGATAGGCGGGATACAAATAAAATGAATGAACGAATGAATGAATAAATGAATGAATGAATGAATGAATGAATGAATGAATGAATGAATGAATCAGTCAATCAATCAATCAATCTTAGGAAACACTATAGCTGCCTAGATTGGCAGCTATCAATGAATCAATCAATCAATGAATCAATCAATCAATCAATCAATATTAGGACTAACTGTAAACCACCCTTATCAATTTAAAATAGAGTTGTAGTCATCACTACATAGATCTCATATTACGCATATGAATCAGTGTAGGAGGCCTTCAAGAGGTCCAGATAGATATCCTTATGAAATTGGCACCTATAGGATATTTGTTCAAAGGAAGCCAATGCTAACAGGTCTTCTCTCTCCTCTGGGGAACATTCCTGACAAAAAGTGGCTGGTTCTTAAAAGCCCTGCTCAGGCGTCTCAGGCTCAAGGCCATGACTTCCTTTATCAAGTCAATCCATCACTTGTTTAGTCTTCCTTTTTTCCTGCAGCCTCCAGTCTTTCTGAGGTTCACTATCTTTTCCGGTAGTTTTTTTTTAAAGAGGGAGCTGCATGAGTATGGGCTATAGAACGGTCTTTTCCAGAATGTCTTCTGACCATGGGGGCATTTTAAAATAGCTGCTCGTTGGGAATCATTAATCCAGACAACGAAGATGCTTCTGCTTTTGTATATTTAGAAGGCACTTCCTCCATTTTTCCTCCAACAGCAGCTCCGTTCCACTCCACTCTTGGAGGCATCACTATTTGTTCCCTTCTCAGTCAATGAATATTTGGTGGCCTTCTAGTTCTCCCGGGGTGTTTGGGGGCCCCCTTTTCTTCAGTGGTTTAGTACCGGCTTCAACCCCAGCCGACCCAGGGATGAATCGGAGTTTTCTGCCATTTGACAGGGGTCTGTGTGTGGTGGGGTGTGGGTTTTTTTCTACATACAGTGGTGCCTCGCTAGACGATGATAACCCGTTCCACTGAAATTGCTGTTTAGCGAAATCATCGTCTAGCGAAAAGCATTTCCCCATTGGAATGCACTGAAACCTGTTTAATGTGTTCCAATGGGGAAGAATCGTCGTTGTCT